CAACCAGGACAGCCTCTTGATGATATAATGGCAGAAAACGCCACCGCGTGTTATTTAACGCCACCGAGCGTTCGCGCTTTATTTACGGCACCGCGCGTTAGGATTTGCATGTAAAGATACGCCTGATTTATGGCCCCAACGGCTTGCCATAGTTAACATGTGTTTACACATGTTTACACGTGTTTACACGTGTTTACACATGTTTACATTTGTTTACACGTGTTTACATTTGTTTACATGTGTTTACACGTGTTTACATTTGTTTACGTGTGTTTACACGTGTTTACACGTGTTTACATTTGCTTACGTGTGTTTACACGTGTTTACGTGTGTTTACACGTGTTTACATGTGTTTACACGTGTTTACACGTGTTTACATTTGCTTACGTGTGTTTACACGTGTTTACGTGTGTTTACACGTGTTTACACATGTATACATTTGTTTACACGTGTTTACACGTGTTTACATGTGTTTACATTTGTTGACACTTGTTTACACGTGTTTACACGTGTTTACATGTGTTGACATGTGTTTACATGTGTTTACACGTGTTTACATTTGTTTACATGTGTTGACATGGGTTTACACGTGTTTACATGTGTTTACACGTGTTTACATGTGTTTACACGTGTTTACATTTGTTTACACGTGTTTACATTTGTTTACATTTGTTTACACGTGTTTACATTTGTTTACATGTGTTGACATGTGTTTACACGTGTTGACATGGGTTTACACGTGTTTACACATGTTTACATGTGTTTACATGTGTTTACATGTGTTTGCACGTGTTGACATGGGTTTACATGTGTTTACATGTGTTGACATGTGTTTACACGTGTTGACATGGGTTTACACGTGTTTACACATGTTTACATGTGTTTACACGTGTTTACATGTGTTTACATGTGTTTACATGTGTTTGCACGTGTTTACATGTGTTTACACATGTTTACATGTGTTTACACGTGTTTACACGTGTTTACATGTGTTTACATGTGTTTGCACGTGTTTACATGTGTTTACACGTGTTTACATGGGTTTACACGTGTTTACATGGGTTTACACGTGTTTACATGGGTTTACATGTGTTTATACGTGTTTACATGTGTTTACACATGTTTACATGTGTTTACTTGTGTTTACATGGGTTTACATGTGTTTACATGTGTTTACACGTGTTTACATGTGTTTACACGTGTTTACATGGGTTTACATGTGTTTATACGTGTTTACATGTGTTTACACGTGTTTACATGTGTTTACACGTGTTTACATGTGTTTACACGTGTTTACATGGGTTTACACGTGTTTACATGGGTTTACACGTGTTTACATGGGTTTACATGTGTTTATACGTGTTTAC